CTGTGCATCCTGTCTCTGAGAAGCTTGGACCTCCCCTGTGTTATCCAGCAGGATCTGCCTTGTGGTATGAAACGTGTGGGTTTTGCCAGACAGGCTCTACCAGCCCTGTTACACTGTAATGTAATCAAATGTGCTCCCTCTGCCTTTATAGATATTTTGTGCTATGGCACTACTTTGGTGTTTCCAGCAATCATGATTGCTTCTATCTTCTTTTTTTTTTTTCTTTTTTTTTCTTCTTTTTTTTAATCCTAATACTATATTTAATAAAAAAATTAGTCTGAATGTTTGTTACCTGATCATCCTGCTACTTTCTGCTTGATTTGTACTAAGGTTCTTTCCCTCTGGCATTTAATTAGAACAGCTTCCCTTTTCACAGAAGCAGTTACTTAAAAATCACTATTTTATTTGTAATATCTATATATGAGTTTGGCCATAGATTATGGTTACACGGCTTGAGAACAGAGCCCTTAATTTTGATATGTTTTGTAAACAATTGACAATAAGTGGCCTGATCCTGTGTCCTTTGACTTCAGCGGGAGTTTTCCAAGTGGTTTTTTTGCACAGGAGCAGCCGGGCTGCCAGCGGCCTCAGGGAGCAGCACGCCTTCGCATGCAGCACAGTTCCATGTCCCAGTGCCAAGAACAAATTTTGCCGATTCAGATTTGCTCAGTTTGTCAACACACAGCTCCCAGTGAGCTTCACGGGACGAGAATCATTCTTGGCAGGGAGCCGCGGTCAGCCCGGGGAGCACTGCCGGCTCCAGGCAGAGGAGCAGTGCCCAGCCTGGGCTGCCTAGTTTGCCAGGCTCCCATCTCTGGCATGTGCTCGCTGTTCTCCGACCAGTGGGAAGTCACTGATAAAAAGAGATGTCCTAGGTTAGTTTTCAAGGTGGTGGGGTTTTTTTCGGTTGGTTTTGTGGGTTTTTTTGGTGGCTGTCTGGATGATTAATGTGAATAGGAAAATACTGTTGACCCATTTTAATCATGTTAGACAATGTCCATTGCTCATCTGCATAATGAAATACACACTGAACATTACAGCCTAAGTATAAGAGCCAGGAAACTACAAAAATAGTATTTTACTCATTTAGATTATGAAGTAAAATATAGGACATTAGTACTAATCATAGTATTAAATTTTAAGCCATGCAAATTGTAATTGTCAGTGAAAAAGAACTATAAGTTGAAAAGGTTATTAACATTTCAGCTTTAACAGTTAATTTGAGTAATCTTTTTTTGTTTTTTTGTTATTTCACTAGTGTGCAGCTTAGAAAAGTCTATATGCAAAATACTTAATAGTAGGTCCAAAAGTGTTTGTTTTATGTCATTATCTAATTTCAATCATTAAAGAAATTGTAGAAATATTAATTTGCAGTATTAAAGTGTATTAACATTTTATATTACAAAGAGTAAACTGTAATCTTTACTTGGGTAGATGAGAGATGAAATAATTTTAAGCATTTATTTAAATACCAGAGCAAAAAACAGAAGCCTTTAAAAACATGAATTTCATCAAATAGAAACATCATTTTCAGCATTTTAAACTATACACAAATTTTAAAGTAGGCTGTCAGGTTTCTATGGTTACCACCTACCTTTCCCGCAGTTTGGTGAGATGTGTAAATAGGCCTATGAGTCACTTGTAATTATTTGTTTTTTGTTTGTTATAGTTGTAATTCTCTGTTCAGTTTGAATCTAATATAGTTCACACCACATGTTTTGGTTTATGTATATTTTAGTGCATATGATTGACAGTGATTGAGCATTTCTTATGGAGTGCTTGTTTTTTTTGTCATAAGTGATGTATGTTGGTACTTCTGAAAATGTAAACAACTTCTTCCTGTATCACTCGTTGATAAACAGGGACTTTTATGATAAGAAAGAGGTCTTTGTAAATGTTAACCAAGAAGGTAAGTGAAAAGTATTTAAAAAGAAAAAAGGCTCCCAAACATTATACCATATTTTTCCAAGTTTGATCAATAATCCTATCATTATAATTTATTCAGTGACCCAAATGCCACATGTTTATGAATAATCTTCCAAGTTATGCATGAATAGCACATAACTAATGACTGACAGATTTAAAAATAAATGTTTTCATAAGGATGCTACAAGTTGTCTGCAGCAAGTTCAACATCTCCCTTGTGCAGAACATCTTCATGAAAAAAAAAAAGAGCTTGTTTCCACCACCACCACAATAGTTCAGTAGAAACAGCTGTAAACTCTTGTAGCTCTCTGCTCATATATTTTGAAGTCTGGGTTATAGGATGCAATTCTCTCACCTTACACTGTTCACTCTGGCAAAGAACACATGTATGTTTTCTCAGCAAAGACTCAATGTCCTAATGTAGTTTGTGTTTTCATTTGAAAGCATGTGAAAACAGGATGATACAAGTGATTAAGAACATTTCATACAAGGCAAAAAACACTGCTAGCTGTCATTTTTACCAAATGAGTAGTCATGTAATCTTATTGAGGTTTTCATCCTACAATTGCCAGAGGAGTGCACTTTTTTTTTTTTTAATTTTGAGATCAAACTGGCTTACAATTCAGGGATCATCTTGTATCCCTAGAGATGCAGCTGCAGGTGTATTGAAAATAATTATTGCAATGGGTCTTATATTTTGTGCAGGGAAAGGCTCCTGACTGCCCGTTCTCTTCTTGTGTCTCAAGCTAGGCAGAAAATGCTAATAAAATGTTCAGGAGCACTCCTACATTTTCTATGCAAAGATTACTCTTATTTCAGCAGCCTTGCTCACCCTCTGAAAGGGTTTCTGTGGGGAATGTTTTTTGTGGTGATTCAGACATATTTTTTCCATTTCGGGTGGAAATCTAAGAGGTTAAAGTAGGATTTATTTTTAACATTTAATACTGTATCAAGCATGTACATAGGACATAAACATGCCAATTGAAAAACAGCTGTTTCATAGAGCACCTGAAAAGATTTTATCCCAGTAGGATCCAATGAATGTTAAAGCCGTGGGTGGGTGCATATTAACAACAAGATTAGGTATTGTGCATGTGTGTAAGGACTATTTGAATAGCTTATTATTTTAATCTGTAACAACTTCTATTTTTTAAACTCAGTAACCTGTTCCAACAGTTGTTACTTTCTTACAAAATCAAAATAATGAATACAATAACCAGTCTTTCATGGAGAAATCATTTCTCTGATCTTTTAAAAAATGTGAAGATAAATAGATAGACAGATAGATAGATAGATAGATAGATAGATAGATAGATAGATAGATAGATAGAGAGTGATTGAAAGATGTATTTAAATATGCAAACCTGAGCAGATGTGTTTCTTGTTCTAATTTATTCACTTTATAAGAAATTAATTTACTCAATATAGGAATGCAGTAACATAAGAGGAATGTTTCTCCTGCTAGTCACGGAAGTTGAAACTTGCCAGATGCTGTGATCTGGAGCCTAAATTCCCCTGATACTAACTGTGTGTGAAACTCTTAATAATGCTTTGTGCAGCTTTTGTACCTGACTTGTTTCATTTTGTTACGATACTACTTTAGGCAGCACTTTATTTTTATTTTTTTACTTGTGTTACTCTAGAAGAGAGAGAAAATGTAGTAGAAGTAACACTAGGATGGAAGGCTGTATTGGAGAACTGCCCTGTTCCCAAAGTTAAGCTTGTATAGCCCAGTCTCATTTTCTATAACAGACAGTTAATTTCCTTTGGTATATGAATCTAATTCATACATAGTTAGATTGTACTCTCTATTTTTTTTAATCCTATAATAACATGGGAAAGTGCTGTTTAATGATGCCAGAATTTTACTCAGTCAGTGAATTTATTTCTTATACTGGCTTGATGTGACTCTGACAACTGCTCAAAGGGGTTTTTAAGGATATAAAATTAATTTTTCCTTTTTTTCTTGTTTGTTAAAAGTTGCACTGTGGGTTGCTTCTGATAAAAGGTGGCACCCAGCCAGCTTCCTGAAGGAGCTATGGAGAGGGTCATGGCTTGTCGTGACCTGGGCACCATTACTTGAATGTTGTTATTATTGGGATGAAATACCCTTAGGCGGTCATCCTTCCTGTAAATAGAAGTTCTGATTCTCTGTGGTTTCCCAGTTTACCAATTTGTAGAACAGAGATTTTGTTGGCCCTAAATTTGTCTGATTAATGAATTAGAAGAACGGCATTATTCCAGAAGGCCATGCTTCATTATTCTAGCATTCTTGTTTAGACTAAGTCGTAAGTAAAGCTGAACAAGAGTGTATTTCCATATAGTTTATAAATTAACACCAAATTAAAAAAACTCATTTGTATTAGCACACAGCAAACAAATTGCCTGGTTCTGCTCTCTGTGAAGGGCAAAATTTTAATTAGCAGGAAGCATAACTGGTCCTGAGTGGCCAAACTTGATTTTTTTCAGTGTCATTGAGAGTCCCAGTGGTGTCAGCAGAGGCGCTGACTCTGCTCCCCTGGAGTCAGTCAGTGTTTGGCCATTGACTTGCTTTATTGGCTCTTATGAGTGATAAGAACAGCAATTCTGTTAATGTCTTTATTAACTAAACAACTTCTGCCATTAATTTCCAGTTAATTTCAGTAATTAAATAAAATAATGCCAATTAGAACATAATGTTTGCAAGATACCGGTCTGTATTTCAGTTTATCAGGGTACAGTCATAAGCATGCTGTTGTTGAGGTTTTTGCCAATGTGTTGCTGTTGTAACTGAAGTCACATCTATCCTGATGAATATTTCATTTCCCCAATCATGCTATTAAAACCAGAGTGTTTTTACCCTTTCATTTCTGTTTTTTCTTTTCCAGTACCATCGTGACAGCTGTGGCTGTGTCCTGTTTACAAATTGCTGCTAGTCACATTTTCAGTAGTCCTTGTGGGTTTTGCTTTCCCTTAATACGGGCAATTAGGAGGAAGTATTTCTCATGAGCATGGACTTGCTCTTCTCTTTGTAATGACACAGTCCTGCAATCCAGGAAACAGTGCTGCATGGTGTCCATGTCCACGATTTCCTGATGTGGGAAAAACGTGTGGAAAGCATCTGGAGAGGAGACCCCCTTTACCAGCTTGTTTCCTGTAAGCAAAATTGGAAGACCTTGTCTGTGCAAATAGATTTCAAAATAGAGTCTGCCCTTTGACTGTCTCCATAATTACACAGTGCTCTCTGTATTTTATTTGGCTGCCAGAGCAGTTAACCCCTGGAAGTAAGGGGCTGATGATGGCGTGACCAGCACGGGTATGCAGACATGACCATGTGAATACACTCTTGTTTGTAGAAGCCTGTCCTTAAGACCTCATTACAATATACTTTTACCAAATTTAAAAATTAGTATGTGTTGGGTTATGTTGATTAAGATATGTTATATCCTTAATGTACAGAAAATGCAGAGGTATTAGTTGCAAAAAAAGAAAAAAAGAAACAGAAAAAAGTTCTGTCTTGGCTTTGATGTAATCAACATCTGTCAACAGAATGAATTTGCCTTTGTTTAATTTCAAGGGCTCTTGTCCTACTTTGCCCAATCAGTTTCAGCTTCTGCCCCAGGCATTTCCCTATGTTGTTCTTTTTTTTTTCCCCCATTTTTTTTTTCTAGCAAATGCACAGGTTATTGCTTGTGAAATGTGAGCTGCTCTTCTGCTGCACAGGTTACACAGAGCTGGAGAGAACCTTTAATCTTTCCCATCCTATTTTTGAAGCTTGGATGTACCTTTGCAACATGGGGATTACAAAGTCAGTGTTTTATTAAGACAGTTAGAATTACAATTACAAATAAAGATCTCTCAAACCACAGCCATTATTTTGGATTGAAAAATGGGAACATTTGGCAATTAACAGTAAAAAGCTATATATTCTTATCTAGTTGCATTGGTAGGATTCCACATATTATTATCCATAGTGATCTCTAATACCTCACTTTAAACTTTATTCCTCTGAAGTTTCAAAAAAATGAATATTTGCACAAGAAGCAAAATTATGTTATAATATTAAACTGGCCTAACAAGCCAAATTAAAGATCTCTAGTGTTTTACCCTCAAATGCATACATACCAATAAAATCTCCATGGTCACTCTTTTTTTAAGTTCAAATATGTAAAAAATCACATATTTAAAAATCAATTATCTGAGCAATGCTTTTGATGTCCTTAATCATTCATATATATTAAGATTTATTTTCTCAAGAGCAAGTTGATTTTTACTTCCTAAATCAGTTGAATGTTAATTCTTATAACCCTAAGTAACTCCGGTGCCATGCATCTGCTGATACTAGGACTAAATTATTTTAGATATGTTAAAATTATTTATTGGCTCTTTCAAGGTGTATCATCGTATTTATTGTAGCTTAGAACTGTCTTTAAGTTTATCCTTTGGTAACATTTTTTGCTAATTGCCTGGAAATTTGCAGTCCTTCATAAAAAAATACCCCCAAAAATGATTGCTGACAGTGACATTCTTTGAATCATGTAGATGAGCTGGTTTTTGCATGGCTACCCCACACCTCATTTTTTGAAAACATAGCTGATAAATTACTCTAACTGTTAAATAAGACGCAGTAGAAAAGGGCTTATGTGGGAGTTCATTTCCAACATCTGCCTTTAAAAATACTTCTTGACCAGAGGAAAATCACATTTAAATTACTAAAATCAACTTAATTAAGGGTCATTAATAGCGATACACATAAAAAAACTCTCTACTCTGTGAGTGAAATGGGAGCATTTCATTATATAGTGTAGCATGCATGAACAGATAACAATTAAAATAGACCTAGAGTAAAAGGCTAATAAATATAGGGCACATTGTGCTGCAATATCAGTCACTTAAAATGCTGCCACCCATCATCATGCTCGAATTCTGTATTCAGCTCCTTATGGCTGACTCGTTTAAAAGAAAATGAAAATGTAATTTCCACACAAGATAAATTAATCTTGTAATTCACAAAAGCTCACAGAGGATATTTATATTATTAATACCAATTAAGGTCTGGAAGGTATGCTGAGGAATCCAGTGGCTCCGGAGGGACATGCGTGCATACAGATTGCACAGTGTGAGTCACTGCCAAGTAAGAGGAGCAGTTGTCTGTAATTTTCTGTGCTCAATACATCATATCTGCTGATGTGATTCAGTAAAAGCTGTTACTAATTCTCCTTATTGCAGCTGATAGCAAATACTCTGTTACTTGAGGCAAGTGACACAGCCTTACTGTTGGGGGAGAGATGTGTAAAGGGTCAACTTTGCATCCTCGCTGTGCTGGCGTGTTGCGAGGCTACCTGCTTCAAACTCTGGGCTCTTTCCAATGGATGGAGTTTCCACTGGAAGCTGCAAAAATCCCACATTTATGAACTATCTTACTGTAATTAATATACACAGGAAGCTTAGCAAAAAAGATGTGCTTGAGCGCCAGTGCTGCAGAAGTAAATGAGGCACTGAGAAAAGCTTTGATAGGTGTAAGGGATGGGGAGGAGGGAATGTCTGACCCAGACTTGGAGAGCACAGCCAGTTGTTCTTGTCTCAAGTGATTGATGATGTTGCTATATCGAATTAGCTGTGAATGTGGGAGCTTAAAAACTAAAAGGAGCTGTGGAGACATTAGGAAGGCCTTCTTAAGGAAGGAAGTGTGTGGATGGAGTCCAGATTTTCTTTATAAAACAGTAACTTAATTATATTTTAATGCCATTTTATTTAATTTTATTTTTACTTTGTAGGAGAATGTTTTCTGGTTTAAGTTTTTATGTTTAAAAAAATAAGGTTTAGTTGTCCTGTGTTTATAATTCTTGGGATGTATTTTAAGGGTCATATACTGTGGTGATATTTATTTGGTTGTCACACTTCACCTGTTCAAGAAGGTATTTTTGTGTGTGTCTGGTTTATAATGAGTAGTTAGTAGAATCAAAACAGACTGCAGTACCTTATTATCCTGTTATCTTGTGACATTAGTAGTGTATCTTTGGGAGAAACAGGGATAAAAATTTTATTCCAAATAAAAAGGTATCCCTTCTGAATGTGGGATTTAATCTGATTGTGTTTTAATGTATCTAAGAGTCTGCATTTGGGACATTTGGAGTTTTACTGTCAAGTAACTGACAAGCATACTTGCACCTTTTCTGCCCAATTAAACTTTTACAGAGTAGACAAGGTGCCCAGGCAGCATGCCATGCATCAAGGAGAGCATTTAAAATACCTGTTCACATATTGATGGCCACGTGTACTTTATCTGACCGCATCAGTGAGTGTGGGTTTTCAGTATATTTATGATACCTTCAGCTGCAGCAATAATAAGGTACTTCTACTGCAGTGAGTAAAAGAGCCACCTTAGCTTCTGCTGGCAGATTGGTTGCTGCTTCCAGTGGCCCAAAAGTTGCTGCCTCAGTAAATTCTGTTCTTCCAGCTTCCAGCAATGGGTGCAAACCAGCCAGAGAGTTTGTAGGATGCTTTGGGGTCTTTGGAGGCACTTACACATTGTGCATTGTAGATGTCCTAGATTTATTTATTTAGTTAGTTGGACAATTATTTTTTTCTTGCAAAGGAGACCCTAGAAAAGCAGTTTTGAGTTGGTTGGCTAAATCACAATTAAAATTCCACCAAACCAATCCTCTTTTAACTGGGCAGCTTCACTTCCATGGAGGTACTCTCTTACCTCTTGAAGCAAGCAATTCCATGGGGATACCGAGGTTATACTGAAAGCTTGATCTGAGCCTTGCTCTCCAACTCTGCCTTGTTACTTAAAAACAATTTTAAAAAACAGTGAAAATTTACTTGTATTGATTAAAAATCTCTACAGCCTTTCAGATATTGGTAACTAAATATAGCACTGATCAGTGTGCAAGGAGTGCTGAGGACACTTCTAAAGCAAACTCCATGCAACTGTTCCATTCAGTCTGGGGTTTAGGGCTCATAGAAACTCAAATCTCCTGTGTATCATGAAATGCTGTAAAAGAGCTGTCTATAAAACCAAGTGTGCATGTGGAAGGATAATTTCTGCATCTGGGTATGATAAATGCATCCAAAGGAAAGGAAGGATTGTACAATAAAATAAAAACATACAAAATATGTAAGAAACTCTTCTTCTAAAAAAAAGAAATAATTTTTACATAGTTACAAAATAAGTAGTAGATTTATTTCTTAATTTCTGTTACATAAAAATGTTCAGTAGCTTCTGTTTATGTGAAAACACTTCCTTTTTACTAAAGAGTAATTATTTTTATGGGTTACTTGACACAAAAGATTGCTCTTGTGTTTGTATACATATGACATTTTTCAGAAGCAGATTAACAATTATGTTTCAGAAATCCCCTCTGTTTAGGTTGTAGAATGTTTGTGTAATGGGAATATGCACTATGTTTAATTGTAATTTAATTGAGCAGTGTCAATAATCCTTACGAATTTAGTCTGTTTCCAGGTTTTGTTGCTAGCATCATCTTTTGTGATATTTTGGGTTTATTGTCTGTTTATTGTCTGACAACCTTTGGACCTCAGTGCCATTTTTCACCCATTTTTTCTTTTTTTTTTTTTTTTGGAGAGGTGGGGAGGGCAAAATATGTCATCGCCCAACAACTAAGTTTGAGCAACAAATACTCTAATGAATTGTCATGCAAAATTCCTATGTGAATTAAGTGGAAAGCTGATTTGTGTATTCCAAGTGAATTACAAATATTAAACCCTTCAGTTTTCTTTGGCCAAGATTAAAATTATCACTTGAAGTTTGTTCTGTTGCCCTGCTAGGCAGGACAAATTGAACCCCATTCTTTGTGTTTTGGTGCACATGACAACAGCAGCATTAACTTGGTTGTGCTCAAATCTGTGACCAATTCTGCAAAAACACAGGTGAAAATATTGTCTGAAATCAACATTAAGTATTTTTTCTCTCCTCTTTGCTTGCTGTCATTCACTGTTTCCCCAAGCCTTGAACAGTGCAGCTTCTAGCCATGCAAATTGCTTCAAGCAGGGGCCCACTGGAGCATCGCTCCTGGCTGTAAGCTCTGGGGAATTTACCCATACTACTTTTTAATGCATTGAACCAAAACAGATCTGGTACTTTGCAAAGCTTCAAATAAATGTTTTTGCAGGTTTTTTTTGTTCTCATTGCTTGTCAGTGTTAATGGACTTTCTTTACCAGTACAAAATTTGAACAATTTTAAGTACTCTTGTCTACTACTTGAGTTCTGTGGTTTGTTTTACATAATACCCTTCTTTTTGCATACTTTTCATTTTGTAATGGGGTAGTAGTAAAACATATTAATAATTTTTAACTTATCTGTTAACAGGTTCTGTGCCTGGCTGCCGTGTCATCTTTTCTTCATGCAGTCCCATCTACCTGCACAGGCACTCAAGCAATCATCAGCGAAGATGCTTCTATTTTCAGGGGCAAAGAAATGCAGCTTATAGTGTCGTTTGGCCTGCCACCGTTTCTTCAGCTCAGCCAGTTCCTGAGGTACTACAATTTCTATTAGCTCATCTGTTCTTCAGGCAGTACAGAGTTTGACTGCAGGCAGGATTGAGTGCATTCGTTGTCAGACAGCTGAGGGCTTGGATCGCCATCCTGTTGTTTGTCTATTATTTGAAATAGGAGTGCTGGTGAGAGAAGTTTTCAAATGCCTACCATGTTAAACACAGTGGCATGTCTAGTTATTAGGGAGTTTAAACCTGGGGCTTGTTCAGTTATGGTAGTATCAACCTGCAATATTATAATAATTTGTCAACACTTAACACTTCTGCATCCATTTTCTCGTTTTGGACAATTTTATATGGTCCGACCAAAAGTCAGTGATCATGATCATTCATGATCATCTGAGTCCTTTTCTGTCAAAGTCCCTAGCAAGCTAATTACAAAACCGTTTATATTTTGCTGAAGGTTTTGCTAATTGGTTGTGTCAGATTTAGGAAGCAAACATACAATGCTTGCTGGTAGCTGCCTTGCAACACTACTGCGCTTTCTAAACTCATCTCCACTGTGCCTAAGTGGCGGAGTGGCTTTTTCCTTGCAACATACACTTTTATTTACTTTAGAGCCAAAAGGAACTTTTTCATGCAGTTTTAACATGTGTTCCACTTCTGGTTTCCTTTTTTCTTTTTTTCTTTTTTTTCTTCTTCCATTTAATTCTAGCATACTGATTAACTCTTTAGTATCTTTCCTTCCACCAAAAGAAAACCAAAGTGCCTGTTCTAAACAGTGCTTTTCAGGATGTGTATTAGTACTTGCTTAATTTTACTTTTAATTTTATTATAATTTTCTTCTGCAAAATAGAGAGTATTTTCACAGGACAGAAATACTAAAAAATTGATAGATAGGAAAACTGATAAGGATGCTGGATGTAGGGCTCTTACACCTAAGAGGCTGTGGGAGCTCTGTGTGCAGGGAGAACATTGGCTTACACTCTATGTATTTTCAAAGGCTTAAAAATTGTAGAACTTACAAACCTTTTTTTTTTTTTTCTGTATTTAGATGTTTCTTTTAGGATAAAGAGAGAGAAATGCATTGTCACACTGAAAAATTGTCTTTACAGATAAGAGTTCTTAGGCTGCCTAAAAATCAGTCCAGTTCTTCTACTCTTGACAGCTTGAGGGTGGAGTTAGTACTTTGTACAGAGTATACCAGAAATCACATGAAAACTATATGGGATTTTTTCAAGATGTTTGTGTGAAACTGTATACATAGACTTGTATGTACACTGCTTTGGATGTCTCCCTTAACAGATCTTACAGGTCAGCCAGGTCAGGTCTCCGCATTTATTAGAAAAGTACCCTCCAAGGGGAAGGCAACTGTACTGCTGTGTATGGAGTTGCTAATATAGTAATTTATTTTTTCTTTCTTCTAAATTAAGTCCCAAACTACTGTAATAGGGTGTTTGTTAGGGCTGCTAAGCCAAGTCTGAAATTCTGTTGACATTAATCCACTAAGGATAGTTTGGCTTCCTATCAGAGTAGAAATGAATTACCAATAGTCTTCCTATATAAAGTCTTACTAGAACTAATTGATTGCGCTGCTCTTCTTTATTCCAACACCTTGCTGTTGTGTGGTTTTGTTGTGTAGATCCCCAGTGCCCACTTTGTTTTTTGCCTGCCACCTTGATTCTGTATTTTGTGAAGTCAGTGCAAAACTTGCCCCATGACCAACATGGCAGAGAATCATGGTGGTCTAAAGGACCCTTCCCCAGCCAGTGAGACAGTCCAGGACCCTCTGAGAAAAAATACATTTCCGTCTCTGTGCAAGATTTTACTGTTATTAGTTTGTTGTGTCTATACATTTGTCAATAAATTATTGTGGATTTTAAAAAAATTATAAGTGAAATTTCACCTCAGTATGAGGGCTGAGAACTGTTTGCAAAAAAAACTTGACACAGCAATTGAGATACCCTTACATAGTGTTGTAGATGGGCAGCACATGGACTAGATTAATAAGTAAGAACTCTAAATTAAAACACTTAAATCCTAAGGTTCTTAGTAAAACAACAATCTCATGGAAGTTCACAGGAGTTTTGTCTGAGCAAGAAACTAAGGATTTTATCAGTTTTATTTTTGAGCCTAATTCTGCATGTATATCCCATCAGCTCCAGTATTTAGCTACCTTTTGCAGAAAACATGCCACTCTGCAAAAGAAAATTAAGAGTTTTTAAGTCTCTCTTTCCAAACTTGTGACTGTGGTAGCAATCAGCTGCAGTATCTGGGGTTGCAGCACTGGAAGGTTAACAGAGTGTATAAGTCAATAGTAACAGGCAATGTTAAGTTCAAAAGGGCAGTGGAAGAAACACTGAGGCAGCCTTGAGGGTTTGCCCTGATGGCTTAGGAAGGTCGATACTACGACAGAAAGGGCAAGCTGCCATGAAGCAGGAGGCAGTATCTGAGAAAATGATCCCATTGTCATGCTCAGTTTTCTGATCTTCATTTTCAATCCTTTTTCTCCAAGCACATAAAGAAGCCAGACTATGTGACGACAGGCATTGTACCAGACTGGGGAGACGACATAGAAATTAAGAATGAAGATCAGATTCAAGGGCTTCGTCAAGCTTGTCAATTGGCCCGTCATGTCCTGCTTCTGGCTGGAAAGGGCTTAAAGGTAATAATTACAGAAGTCCCATAACTGACTGGATGTCTTTTATGCTTTCACTTATTTGTGGGGGTTTTTTCTACTTTTGTTTTTGTCACTTTCCTTAATGTTACTTTCCCAACTTTAAGTTAGATACTGAAAAAAGAAGGATTTATTAACTTCTTATTCAGTCTGTGATATGCCTGATTATTCTGTATTTTGCACCTATGTAGTACTTACAGTGAGTTGCTGGCTCAATCTGTCATCGCCCTCTGTTTGGATCATGTTAAATCACATGAGTTTCCCATAAGGCCCACACTACTTCTTTTCCTTGAATTTTATGTACAATATTCCTCATGCATGCTTCTTTCTGACCCTGCATGCAGGCAAGTCCAAAGGGCTGGGCTGTCTTCTGCATTCCTAATCATTCTTCACCCCCTTGCTGTCCCACAGGGTCTGATGTGACACAGGTCTTAAAGCTGCTGTTGGAAAAAAAAGCTGCCAAATCCCACACAGTTTTCCAGATAGTAAAGCCTCATGTTTTCCAGTAATGTTTCTACAGAATGCTTTTGGGATGCCTCCCAAGTTAAAATGTGCTGGGAGGAGCCTGCTACAAGGTTTTGCAGATGAAGGAGTGCTTTTTTAGCCTTGCCTTGGTATTTCATGTAATGGCATCCTGGATAGGGTAAAATGGTTTGAGTGGCTATGAGATGCAGAGATAGATGGGGACTGTAGGTCAATGCCATTGACTTAAAAGGGGAAAAATCATCAGTTTACCATGCATTTTTCTTTCAGCTACCATCACACTTTCCCAGGGGTTTAATTTTGGAGGTGGCATGGCCAATAACAAAAGTGCCTGAAGCCTTAATCTTACAAATCGTAGAATCACACAATGGTTTGGGTTGGAAGGCACCTCAAAGGTCATCTAGTTCTAACTCTCCTCCGTGGGAAGGGACACCTCCAAGCCCCATGCAGCCTGCTGTTGAACACTTCCAGGGATGGAAGTCCATATTTAACTTCTTGTGCATGTTAACTGTGCTTGTGCGAGTTTAACTTCTTCATGTGCAATTATTCCTGGGACAGCAAAACTTACTCATGTAACAGTAAGGGCATATAAATGTTTCTGAAGGATGAGGGTGCGATATAGGTTATGAATGAGAACAGTTTTTCACTAATACTCTTTCATTGTTATCATGTGTAAAATACATACATATGCAGCACAGTGTAGCTTATGATGCAGTTCATAGTATATGGCAAACCATACATAATAGCAAAATACTGTGTATATATAAATAACATTGTTGAACAAGGTGTATAAGGTAAGAATGACTTTACTGGGAGCTGTGGGCTGGGAGGGAGGTGGGAGTTGAGTTACAGTGCCAAGACCACTGCTCAGGTCAGCCACAGACAGGGGGTGAGCTCTATTTTACACCAGTAAGTGTTTGGCTAGGACTACCTTGACTGGGAGGATGCTCCACAACCCTCCCTCATCCACAGGGAGCATCTTCTGCTTTCCAGTCTGACACCGTGCATGGCCAGTTTATACCCATTTGTTCTTCTGCCAACACCACTCTTAAAACAGCTTCCTGCTCTTCCTTGAGTCTGTCCCCTTCACACAATAAGTAAGAGTTATTATAGCTTTCAGTGCACCAGAGTAAACAAAATGAGCTCTTTTAGGCTTTTCTCATAAGGTAAACTCTGATTTCCTATTTTACCTGAAAAGCCCCATCCCTCCACCTATTCCTGTTGTCTTATCAAACCCCCCTTGCACACAGCCCTCCAAACTAGCTCTCACCTGTGCTGCAGCCAAGGGCAGTAACATCCCCCAGTATAACAGAGATGTGTTACAATGCATGGAAGCAGAGGGACAAAGTTTAGGCTGAGTGCCATTTGATGCTACCATTTACTGCCCATGGCACTTAAAAATACAACATAATATTATATATGACAGCATTTACTGGTTTTGAGGGAAAGATTTGGGAATAAAACAGCAAATTCTGTGGCATGGAAACATTTTTTTTAGATACCATCACACTGCCCTGTCCCAAATAAGGGATGAGGTGTGTGGTTGGTGCCCCCCTAACATTGCCCAGCTAGCAAAATCTTCTTTAAAAGTAAAGCAGATATTGTTAAAAGCAGAAGTTTTCACAGCATGTCAGCCTGCCATGCAGAGAGCACAGATCTGTCTGCTGAGTGTGCAAAAGCCACATCAAATTCATTGAGCAGAGCAGTGTCAGACAGGGCCCAGCCTGGTACATGGTGGCTCAGTTTGTCTGCAGGCTGTAGATGAGAGATGAGCAAGCGCCGGCAGAAGCAACAAACCTGTGTGCATCCAGAACCCATGGCTGCAGTATCCAGTGCAATGTGTCAGGGCTGTGGCTGCCATCCCAGCACAGATGCTGCAATGGCTGCTTCTCTGGGGGGTTGCACAGTAACCCCAAATCCTGCTCTTGAGGGGGTTCATTGCTCCTCATCTGCCCAGCCAAGTTTTCATGATGAACAAGATGCATGCTGACCAAATAGACATGATTCTATCCTCAGCACAGTAGACAAGTGCACTTGGTTGTATCCACTGTGCATGATCACTGAATATTTCAATATATGGATAAGTATGGTTCCTGCACCATGGCCTACCTATATTCCACATGTTACTAAAAAGTCTTCCAAAGTCACAGCAGCTGTAGTGTATGTGTATGAAGTATGATTTTCAAAGGCTCAAAACTCATCCAAATCAAAATAAATTTGCAGAGGAGCCCTCAAAGGCACTTTTTTCAATGAGGGAGCTTTCCCAACCAAATTTCAAATTTCAGCTCTAACTATTCCAGAGACAGAGTTGATCCACCAGGAAAGCAAGAAGAATGTTGTTTTAAGTGTATGTGTTTTCTACTCCGTGGATACTCAGAAAACGGCTGTTGGTTTGTTTTCTAATATATAAAATCACAAGAAAGAGATTAATCTAGAAAACATCAAGCACAAAAACTTAAGATTTCTAAAAATGATGGATGAGCACTTACAGATTCACTGAAAATCTAGGCTATGACAACTTTAAGTAAAGTAGCCTCAAGATATAAAGCCAAATATTTAAATATTTTCTAAAATTAAAGAACACTTGGAAAACAACTTCATAAAATGCATGAGTGAATCACAGGTGTATTGTGATAAATATACTGGGCAGTTACAAGAATTAAGTTCCTTTCTTTTACAAGTAAAAAGGGAAAGTAATGTGTTTTAACATACTGAAAATATTGAAACCAGACATTTCCATAGCAGCTACTGAAACAAGATGCCATGGAAAACTGGTGTATTTGAGAAAGCAAAAGAGGAAAAAAGAATGGCAAGGAAGTAGACAGTACTTTAGGTTTTCTAGGAACCTTTGAGTGCTTGTTTCTACTGCATGCTTTATTTAAAACCTTTTTCTCTTTTTTTTTTTTTTTTTTAAGTCCAATATACCAATAGAGTATATTTGACAGTTTAGTGTTTTATATCAAAGCAGCATATTTGAAACATCCAAAATTTAATTTAAACTCTTGGCTGCAATCACATTTAGTAAATATGAGAAACTATCTTTGTTTTTTTTAATAGAATATTGTGTTTGATATTTTAGGTTGGCATGACAACTGAAGAAATAGATTCCATTGTTCATCATGAAATAATCAGACAGAATGCCTATCCGTCACCTCTGGGCTATGGAGGTTTTCCAAAATCTGTTTGTACTTCTGTAAACAACGTGGTATGTCATGGTATTCCTGACAGGTATTTCCCCAATAATATACATTTTACCACCGGGAATGAAAATGTTAAACTGAAATTCATAAATCATGATTAATATTGAACATACTTCAGCTTAACTAACTGTCATATGTGAACCTATAACAGATGGATATCATGTTACCACAATATACTGATAGATGTTATAGAAATGTATGTGAAGTAGAAAAAAAAATATTACCCTGTTTGTCCAGATACTTGAAAAAAAAAAAAGCATAATGCCTTTAGTTTAGTGTGTGGGAAAAAAATCAACAGTACAGTCTGATTATTTTTTTTTTCCTCCAGGAAAGTAAGTATAAGGTAAGGAGTAAATAGATTTTAATTTATGCAGGGTTTTTTTATTTTTATTTGCAATGCATTCAGCTACTCACAAAGTAAAATATGAACCCTAGTGAGAGAAAAGGAATAAATATAGTGGTAGATTTTTCAGATGTTTATTTGTTTTTCTGGTAGTTGTTTCTCATTATTTTATATTCAGCTACATTTGTTCTCTAAATAGAGCTGAACATTAAAAATGTTTTTTTTCTGTTTGCCTGTGCCTTCCTCCATAATCAAATACCTACCCCCTGATTTTTTATGTATGTACCATTAGGTGTTTATTCTTATATTCCCTTTGTTGGGAACTGTCTGTCACCATTGTTTTTATTTTTTTGGTGTTTATGTTTCAGTCGACCTCTTCAGGATGGAGATATTATCAACATTGATGTCACGGTGAGTAATTCATATAAAAAATAGTCTTTGATCAACTTTAGAATCACTAGTAGCAACAGGAAGAATAGTGGATTGGAGATGGGGGATGCACAGATGGATGTGCTGTTTACTTCTGAGCCGAGGCACTAGCAGCTGGTTTCCTTTTTTGTTTTTAACTGTGTGTTTATTCCAGCTAGACCCAGGCCTGACTTGAATTTAGGACTGGAATCAGATGCACTGAGATCAATGTTGGCCTAAGTGAAATGTCAACCCAATCCTGCTATGTGTCATGTTTTTGAGAAGGTGTAATTGTTATTGATCCACTGTGTAGTTAATGCAGAGCACCACAGTACTGGGCAGCAGCTGAAGATAGATATGTATGAGATGAGCTAACATGAAGAAAGCCAGCATTTTTCCTTCACTCTGCCAAGATTGATCTTCCTCTTCCT